ATATAAACATATCATCTAGCATAAGCACATATACTGCACACTGCATCGGACCGAAGTCCGGAACACATAACACAAAGACATGCTTGAATCACATAGACATCAAGCACACTGAACTACTACATCGGACCAAAGTCCGGAACTACTGCTAACAAAACGGGTTGGCATTGTGGCCATAGACCTGTTCCTAATGGAAGGAAACTCACCTCACACTGCTGAAGTCTCGCAGACTCAATCCCACACTGCTGAAGTCCCGCAGACTCGACCCCAGCTGCTAGATGATAGATTCCCGATCTGTCAACATCAAAATAACACCCAATTAATAATGGGATTCCACTACATAACTATAATTACATACTTTGTATAATTACTACATTACCCCAAGCTTGACTTACCCAAGCCCAAGGTCCAATCTATAGGCCCAAAGTCAACTAGGGATCAAAGCCCAACATATGGCCCAATTTTCCAAATTGGGCCCAAATCTCTACATGGGCTTCCCATAAGCCCTAATTGTCCAGTCCAGTCCATCATGTCCCATTCTAACAACCCAATATCATAAAACCCTGGAGGCCCAAACTATGGCCCATCTATGGCCCAATTTTCCAAATTGGGCTCAATCTATCATATGGGCCTTACCCTAAAGCCCAACTAATTACTCTAGTCCATTTGATTATTCTTGGATGGCCCAACACAAAGCCCAAGTGAAATTAGGGTTTCACATAAAATGATAATTAGGGTTAAGTGTTTCTTACTTAACCCATTAAGGGTTTAACCCACTAAGGACTTAATCCATTAAGTCCCTTATTGCTTAGATTAATTTCTGCCAATATTTATTATTTAATATTTGACTTATTAAATAATTCTCATGTGTGTGTCTTGATAAGTTCTCTAAATTAGGGTTTTCTCACTTAGCCCATTAAGGACTTAATCCATTAATTCCTTTACTCTGCTAGATAAATGACATGGAATAATTGGACTTAATATTCAATCCAATCTCAATGGCCCCAAAGTGGGTCCAATAATTCTAAGGCCCATTACTCATAATTAGGGTTTTCCACCCAAACATGGCCCGAAACCAATCTCTAAGCCCATTAGGGTTTGCTAGTGGGGCACCACCTACTACCACCTCGGGTAGCGGTGGTTAATGGCGGCTTCCACCTTACGGTGGTGGTTTGAGTTTCTTTTCAATAATATTTTGGAACTTACAATTACAATGATTTATCCAAAATAATCCACACACTCACTAACACACATACTAACTAATTCACACACTAATTAACACACACAAACACACACAGCCACACCATGATGGCCGACGACGATGCTTAGCAGCAGGCACCACCTCACAGTGGTGGCGACAACTTTCTTGATTTATCCGGCCAACAAAAACCCAATCATTCGTCATTGAAATATCACACACCCACCCCTAAGCTCGGAAAGTAACACAGCACCACCTGGTGGCACTCGGCGGTAACAACGATGGTCTTGGGGGTGGCAGTGGCGTTTGGCAGTAGCTCCCGGCAACAGCCTCCATGGCTTGCTACCATGGTGGTCCTCTTGCGTTCTCAAACCAGCCCTTCACCCACACATCTCTTCGGCAACCACTGAAACACGCACAAAAACGACATTGGCTGAGATTCTAACACACACACAAAACACACACTGCACCGCCACACATCAGGTGGCTTACGGTGACCCGGAAAAGGGTATCATCGGGACGTGATAGCCATCGGGCGGAGATGGTGACGCTCATGAGGTAAAAAGGAAGGAGAACGAGATAGAGGAAAAGTTTTACCAATACTGGAGAACATAGTGGAACAGCAGCCCCCGACGTCGCCCTTGACTCGCGCATTCGTCGGCTGCGAAACAACAATGATTGTGCTCCGCTCACTTGGTGGTTCAATTGATCGGAAGAATAGCGTAACTGGTGGTGGCGGTTCCTCCGACTCCAACACTCTTGACGATCGCCGGTAGAAGAAGAAGAAGGAAGGAAGGAAGATGGCGGCTGCAGCCTCCATATTAGGGTTAGGGTTACAAATCCCTTAAATACTCATTCCCTTCTAGAAGTGTACCATAATGGCAACTATAGTCCCTCCCCCATAATATTTCTTTCAAACCTAGTCCATAGTTTACCTATTTAACCTCGCCTCCTAATATTCTTTACAATTCAAATCCGAATTTTACGTATCAGCCCCTGACTTCATAAATACTTATAAAACTAAACTTGAATTTAGACTTTTAACCCCCAACTTCTAAAATTCTTCACAATTTATTGTGGGAACTTTATTTAAATGAACGGGATGTTACAATATCACTTTTAATCCTCCAAGGACTAAAAGGAACAAATAAACTTCAACTGATATGCTTGTACTAACTAATCATCAAGTTGTATAAAACAACATGTTTTATAACATCATGTTACTGATGCATTTTCGTACTATCAATGTACAACCAACTCATAGTCAACAAATCATATATCTTGGTTTGAAGACTTATATGATTTTACCGTCTCACGATCACTCAAGATACATTCCATGAAGTGATACAAGTGAGCGTGGGTTGATTCCAATTCTCATAACTTATGAGTACTCATGAATGTTGCAGCAACAATTGCTATGTCTAATACAATTAAGACAAATCTACAAACCCAATTCATAACAATCTTATTTCAATACTTACTTCCAAAGTATGATTGACTGTGGATAGTTTGAAAAATATGATATACAATAACATAATTATTTTGGAAGTCAAAACATGCAAAATGAAACAATAGTAAATGATTGGCACAAGACAGTACCATACTAGTAAATAAAAACACCTTTTAGTTAAACATCAAATGTCAATTACATTTCAACTATTACAGGTTTCGAAAGCTATCTAATTACTAAAACCTAATATCATCCTTCAGCCCAATGCACCTCGCATGCTATAAATGCTTAACCCTGCACAGTCCCTTCGTGAGGGGATCTGCTAGGTTATCATATGAGGAAACCCTCTTTGCCACGATGAGTCCTTCTTCTATTTGATGTCTAATGAAGTGATATTTTCTATTAATGTGCCTAGATCCTGCATGCTAAATCTTTTCAACACCTTATCCAAGTAGGTACTTTGACTAAGTCCAATTAGTCTCTTACTCCTGCCTCTCAATATCCATATCCTTAGGATATAGGCAGCTTCTCCAAGGTCCTTCATAGTGAAACACTTCCCAAGCCAGGACTTAACCTTCTACAAGGTTGGGATGTCATTTCCTATGAGTAGTATGTCATCCACATACAATGCAAAAGAGCTAACTATACTGCCATTAGCCTTAACATATACACATGACTCATCCTTACTCCTTGAAAAGAAAAACTCTTTGACTTTCTCAACAAAACAAAGAATCCATTTGCGAGATTCTTGTCTTAATCAATAGATGGATTTGTCAAGCTTACACAATCTATTAGGGTACTTTGCATCGACAAAACCCTCTAGCTGACTCATGTAAACATCCTCAGCCAACTTTCCATTAAGTAAAGTAGTTTTGACATCTATTTTCCATATTTCATAATCATGAAATGCAACAATGGCTAGCATAACCCTAATAGACTTAATCTTCGCTACTGGTGAGAAGGTCTCATCATAGTTAACTCCCAGAGTTTGAGTAAAGCCCTTCGCAACCAATCGCACTTTATAAGTGTGTATATTCCCATCCATGTCGGTCTTCTTATTGAAGATCTATTTGCACCCAACTATCTTACGACTCGGTACATTGTCAACCAAGTTCCAAACTTGATTGTCATACATGCATTGAATCTCGCTGTTTATAGCCTCTTTCCATTTGGCAAATCCAGGGTCTGCCATAGCTTCCTTGAAGTTGTTAGGTTCATCCAATTTATCAGTGTACTATCACTGATAAATGAATAACCTTCTGTAGTACTATGGAAACCATAATAATAATAATAATCAGGTGTGTTCCTAACTCTTGTGGAACGCCTCAGAGGTACGGACTCATCAATCGGCTCAACAGGAGTTTCCTCCTCAGGGTCATTGCTAGTGTTTGAGGTTCCTTCACCACTTGACTCTTTTAATTTCTTCAAGGTCAATTTGCCTCCCACTGTTTCCTTGGCTTATGAATTCTCTCTCACGGAAGACTCATCTCCTCGCCACGAAGACAACATTGTCACTCGGTCTATAAAAGAGATAACCAAAGGATTTCTATGGGTAGTCGATGAAAATACACCGTTCATTTCAAGGTTCGAGGTTGTCATGAGTCCCGCGCCTCACGAAAGCCTCGCAACCCCAAATCTTGATGAGGTCTAAAGTAGGAACTTTCCCGGTCCATATCTTGTGAGGTGTTTTGGCAACCTTTTTGGTAGGGTCTAGTGTTAGGTCATAATTATGTGGTTTGGGCTAGGCATCTATCTTGTATAGGTCTTGGTGGGATGTTAGAGTGTGTTGTGGTGGTTGTTGTTTGTTAGTGGGTGTGTGCGGCCGCACACGCTGTGTGCGGCCATACACGTATGTGTGGCTGCAAACGCTGTGTGTGACCGCACATGCGTGTGCGGCTGCACACTGGTGTGCTGTTGTGGGTAGTATAAAAGGGTTGTGTCAGTGTGTCAGAAATGTACGAATGAACAATGTATGTGTGACAGGGTGTACTTGACATTTATATGATATAAATGTGTGCATGCTTGTTTTGATTCTTCTTCTACTCCTTCTAACACTCTATTTGATTGCTGTTATCTTATTGATTACTGATTTGGATCCATAGTTTGGGACTTACAATTGGTATCAGAGCCAAGATTTGTCTGCAGATCCTTAATCTATTTTGTCTTCACTTCATCTTTTTCTTTAAGCACTTCTATATAAGAAGTGTGTTGTTCCAGTAAAATTTTCGTTTTAATAAGTTCCTGCTATAGAATACCAATCTCTTCCCGAAGTTCTGACACTGTAGACTTGTCATCACCTGAATGTTCTTCCCTGAAATATATGCCTTTACCCCGAGAGGAAGGGGTTGGACTGTTTTATGCAAGGTGCTTGGCCAATCTGATTGAGGCTTCATCCAGTGAGGGCCGTGTAGGAGAATACTCTAGAATAGAGGATGAACCACCTATCTCAAATATTGTGCTTGGGCCTTCATCTGACTGTAGTGGTGGAGTGACAATAGTAGTAGTGGTAATAGTGGATAAGACCTGAGGTTCATGGCTGGAAATAGGCACTCCCAGAATTGTATTTGATTGACTTCTTTCCAAAGAAAAATGGGAGATTTGGGGCTGTGACGATTCATTAACAAGCGGAGCAGAAGTAGAGAAAGTTGAATCAGAGGGAGGAATCTATGAATTCACATCTCTTTGACCTGAAGAGACCTCCAAAGGCTTGGAAGCAGAGAGAAAAATTTTGAGAGCATTAATTTCTTCCCCAGTCTTGGTTGCTAAAGGAGCAACTTCATTGAACTTTCTAAAACAACTATTGTCAAACCCCGGAAGTGGACCAAACTCTTCATCATCAAGATCAAGTTCAATGTTTGAAGGGAGATCATCACTGATCCCGGTGAAATCTATCTCTTTCAAAAAATCTACATCTTCATTAAGATTCTCATCGCCTTCTTCAAACTGAGTTCCAACTTCCACATTGTGTAAACGACTGTGTTCCTCTGCCACTATTGTTATAGGAGAATCACGAACTTATTCAATCTCTGGCTCTGAAGTTGAAATCACAACATCATCAGTCTCTATGGGATTAGATTGATTTTATGAATCTGATTGATCACTATCTTCAGCAAAAATTCCAAATTTTATTAAAGGGAATTTTCCTTCAAAAACAAACTTTCCACCCCTTTTCTGTTTCATCAATCCAAAAGTACTTGGACCGACAGATTTAAGATCCAATGTCTCATTTCCTCTTTGGAGCTCAAAATGCATGACATTGAAGATAATCTGAAGAAATCTTGGGTACATCAAAAATTTGTCTCTCTTGTTTCCTTCAATATTCAAAACCAATTCGTGCAGGATAAATTTTGAAAAATTAAACTCGATTCTCGAAGCCAAGGTTGTGATGGCTCCTGTGTTGAACAGAGTGATTTCGTTCGCACATGATCTCCTTCTAGAAATACAACTCACAAATACATGAGCTAAATATTTCCAGGAAGGAGGAAGCAGTTTCTTGATGGTAGGAGGGAATGATCCTTCATATCCCATGTGGTCCAGAACGTCTTGAGTTTGATGTACTTCAATTTCCATAGAATACTTAGGCCTGTCATTGATTTGAAGTGATTCCCGAATAACACTTTCTGAGATCAGAATCTTCTTTCCTTGTACAGTTGCTTCAAGATACTTTTCTTCACTGTCATCTTCCTTGACAATTGCACTTCTCCAAAAGTCTTTGATCAAATTCTGATAAATCACCGGTCTAGTCGTCAAAGCATGAACCAGACAACATTTCTTAAGACCATCAACAATGAATTTTAGGTCGTTGTGAGTAGCTGGAGGATTTTAAAGAAAGATTGTTGAGTTGTGCACCTTTACAAATTCAAGTTCTCCCATGTTAATAGATATGAAGCTTAAATTTAGGAAGAAAGATGATTTTTGAGGGGTTTCTATATATATATATATATATATATATATATATATATATATATATATATATATATATATATATATATATATATAGAGAGAGAGAGAGAGAGAGAGAGAGATGAAAGCCGTGTGTGGTTGTGGTTTGAAGATGGTAAATAGTGAAAGATAAAGAGCCGCACACTCATATATGTACTGCTTCATCCTTGGGCTCCTTTTTATTTAAAATTTAAAATCCCAAGCCTAATACTCAAACATTTTCAAAAATAAATCATTTTGAGGATTAAAAAATTTAATTGATTAATTTTTTTGTTTAGTTTAGTTTTGCACATATTTTCTCTCTTCTATGCACAAATTTAGGGGAGAAATAACCAAAAATCCAAAAACAATAGAAAATAAAAAAAAATTCAAAAACAAAAAAATAGAAAATCCAAAAACAATAGAAAATCAGAAAATCCAAAAACATTAGAAAAACAAAAAAAATAAAAAAATCATGTATTTGTGATCAATGATGAGTTGGGAAGCGATATCAACAAGTGATAACGGGCAATCTGAGTCTGTGTAAAGTACCAAAGTTGAATTGTCTAGGCTCTGTGTTCGATGCGCTGGTAGGCACGAAGGATTTAAATGGACTTGACTAGGCAAAGATGAACTTAAGAAATCAAATGACTTGACAAATCTTGACCTAGATAGATCCGTTTAGCCTGACAATATGATGCTTGGATAGGTTGAGTAAGGAGATATACATAAGAATCCACCAGTCACATTAAAGAACCCGTATCTAGAACTGTGGTTTTACTTTTCCTCAATGTACGGATTCTGTCCTTAATTCCGGTATTGATGGAGTGACTGGGGAATTCCGATAAAGTAGGCATGTAGAAAATTATTTTCTTTCTTTCTTACGGTTAGTCATATGTTTCCTCCTCTATGTTATTGGAAGATATCCGACCTGGACTGCAACATATGTAAATCTATTTCACTGTATCTTATATCTATGAAATTCTTCCTATCTGTTAGCCATGTGTTGTCTCCTTTGTATGATTAACAATCCGACCTGGTACACAACATATGCAACCTTCTACTTCTCAATCCCTCTAAAACTATAATTAATCATAATCTAAATCTATCCTCTCTATGAATAATAGTCTGCTCACCTAAAGTAAGGAGTATCTCGGAAGTTCTTGATTATTGGGGTATATCAGGAAGCGGGAAACATGTTCTAGTACATATAAAATTGAACAATTCTAGATTGTCGGTAGATCTCTTTGCTCAACTTAGGTGGAAAACAATATCCTTGGTCATCGTCAGATGAATGGTCCTTAGGAAGTTTTATCTAGGAACATAGGATCAACTTGTCTTGTCACTTATAGCATGTCCAAATTTTGTCATAATTTTTCGTGTTTAAGTAGACCACAATACCAGCGATCGACCAGATCTATTCATGAAAGGGGAAGGTACTAACAAATGGATTAAGACTGTCTAACAACTTTGATCCCAAATATTTTTGTTTTTGTTAAATTTGTTCATAGTTTTCCTCTATGCACAAATTTAGGGGGAGAATTAAAAAAAAATCAAAAATCAAACAAATATTAGAAAATTAAAAATCCAAAAATAGTGTTATTTCTTGTTCAGAAAAATCAGAAAATCCAAAAATATTTTTGTTTCTGTTTTTATTTTTCTAGAAAATATAAAAAAATTCCAAAAATATTGTGTGCTAATTTTTCTTTTAGTTTTGTTTTTATCTTTTAGTTTTGTTTTTTCTTGAAAAGTGAATTCAGATTTAGATAAGACTCGTGGAGACTGTATCGAGATTTCCTGAGCCAAGGCTTTATCCGTGATCATCGAAGAATTCTAATTCGAAGGAACAAGAAATGAAGGTTGTTCTTTCAACATTCAATCTGTCAACCCCAGAAGCAAGGTCAAGCCGTGATTGAAGATTATGTGATAAATTGCATTGAAGCCTCCTCAATCAATCTGATGCTATCTATAAACCTGCTGAAGTGATCCAGAAGATTCGTTCTCTCTGTTCTCTCTGAAGATTCTCAAGCTGAAATCACCATCTTTTATGAATCTCTACAAGAAGCCTCCTCACCCAATGTTCGTTCAATGTCAAATTCTGCAGAAATCCCAACTACTCAAGATGAAGTCATTTGCTGAAGATTCATATGTTCATCTTTATGCTGCGAAGAAATTTGAAGATTAATGTTGAAGCCAAGCTCCCAATGAAGATTAACAAGAAAAGCCAACTACTTTTTAGGGGAGTTTGTTGGGCCAATTAGAAAAGAAATCTATAAACCAAGGGGGAGATTGTTGGGTCAAAAATATGGTTTATACTTTGCTTTTCTAAGAAAATATATTTTTCTGTAATTTTGTGGTTGTGTACGGCTGCACATGTGTGTGCGGCCGAACACCCTGTGTATGGTTGCACACGTGTGTGCAGCTATACACTTATGTGCAGCTGGTGGCCCATGTCTCATATATATAGGGTGAAGAATGTATGGCTAGAAGAAAGAGAGAGGAGCATGTTCTAGAGAGAAGAATAGTGTGTGTGAGAGAATCTATGTATATGGAGCATCACTCAATTTATTGAATACATCATTAGATTCATCTTAATTCTTCTTCTCCTTCTCTTCTATTTGATCTAACATCATCCAATTGATTGGGATTCCGCACCATCAATTGGATCTGATTGATACACAAGCAATTTTGGGGACTTACAATTGTTGTGTAAGTGTGCAGTCACACACGTGTATGCGGCTACACACGTATGTGCGGCTGCACTCATGTGTGTGTTGGAGTGGGTAGTATTTAAAGTGTTGTCAGTCTGTCAGTAAGTACGAATGAACAGTGACGTGTATGTGTGTACTTTCATGGTGTACTTGATATTTATGAGTAATAGATGTGTGCATGCTTGATGTTATTTCTCTTCTACTCCTTCCATACTCTATTCTGATTGTTATTACCTCATTGATTACTGATTTGGATCCATAGTTTGGGTCTAACAATTGGTATCAGAGCAATTGTTAGTCCCAAACTATGGATCCAAATCAGTAATCAATGAGGTAAATTGTTAGGTCATAATTATGTGGTTTGGGCTAGGCATCTATCTTGTATAGGTCTTGGTGGGATGTTAGAGTGTGTTGTGGTGGTTGTGGTTTGTTAGTGGGTGTGTGCGGCCACACACGTGTGTGCGGCCATACACGTGTGTGCGGCCGCAAACGCTGTGTGCGGCCACACATGCTGTGCGCGTCCATACATGTGTGTGCGGTCGCACATGCTGTGTGTGGCTGCACATGCGTGTGCGGCTGCACACTGGTGTGCTGCTGTGGGTAGTATTAAAGGGTTGTGTCAGTGTGCCAGAAATGTACAAATTGTATGTGTGACAGGGTGTACTTGACATTTATATGATATAAATGTGTGCATGCTTGTTTTGATTCTTCTTCTACTCCTTCTAACACTCTATTTGATTGATGTTATCTTATTGGTTACTGATTTGGATCCATAGTTTGGGACTTACATCTAGATTAAGGATATGGGTGGCAATCTCTAAGGCATACCCCCAGAAGGAGATTGGTAACAAAGCTCGAGTCATCATGGAACGAACCATGTCTAACAAGTTTCAATTGCGCCTCTCAACCACACCATTCAGTTGTGGTGTCCTAAGAGGTGTCAATTGTAAAACAATTCCACATTCATTAAGATAGTCAAGGAGCTCAATACTAAGATACCCACCACCCCATTCGGATTGGAGCATCTTTATCGTCCTGCCCAATTGATTATCTAGTTCTTGTTTAAACTCTTTGAATTTCTCAAAGGTTTCTTACTTATGCTTGATTAAGTAGACATAACCATATCTACTGTAATCTTCTGTAAAAGTTACATAGAAGCAGTTAGCATCCCTTGTGGTGGTTCTAAAGGGTCCACACACATCTGTCTATATAAGATCCAACAAACCTTCACCCCTAGCATAAGTACCAATGAAGGGTGACTTATTCATTTTTCCAAGTAAACAAGATTCACAACTATCATCTGACTTTAAGTCAAATGACTCCAAGACTCCAGCCTTTTTGAGTTGGCCTATGCACTTCTTATTGACATGTCCAAGATGACAGTGCCAACAGGATGCCTTATCCAAACTAGCAGAAGAATCAATATGTAATACATTATTTGCTAAGTTGACTATAACTGAAACAATTTCATATACACCATTACAAGGTAATGCTTTAAAATAAAAAAACACCATTATAAAAAGCATTAATACCACCACATTCATTATCATATGAAAAATGAAATCCTTGTTTGTACAAACCATGAAAGGAAATAATATTTCTCTCCATTTCAGATGAGTAACAAGATTTATTCAAATCTAATATCAACTCAGTACTAAGCAATAAATAATAAACTCCAATCTTGGTGGCACGTGATGCTTTGCTATTCCCCATGATCAAGTTTATCTTGCCGTGCTCTACATCCTCACTTCTTTTTAGGCCTTGCAAATCAGAACAAATGTGAATTCCACACCCTGTATCAAGGACCCAAGAATTAGTATGTGGTGAGTTATTAGACAATATAGTGTAATACCTGCATGGGTGGGTTTAACTTTCCCATCCGTAACATCGTGCAAGTACTTGGGGCAGCTTCGCTTCCAATGCTCCTTTTCCTGAAAATAGAAGCATTGTGCATCTTTCGGGTTGGAAGATGGAGTTGTAGAACCACCTTTGTTTCCACTCGAAGAGGAGTCATCAAGAGACTTTCCTTTAGTTCCTTTCGAAGGGGTCTTCCTATTTTTCCCTTTACCTTTCCCGATTGCCAGAACAAGGGCGGTAGTAGGAGTGGTAACAACATTCTTACCTTTGAGACTACTTTCAGCAGTCCTCAAAAGTCCTTGAAGTTTGCTAAGTGTGACCTCCTCCTTGTTCATATGATAGGTCATGCAGAACTAGTCATAATAGGAGGGTAATGAGTGTAGAATGATATCTATCGCTAACTCCTCATCAAAGTTCACATTAATTTTAGCAATCGGTCCATGAATGTTTGCATTTTCTGCAGGTGGCCCGTGATGGACCCTCCATCCTTCATTTTTGTTGTTATCATAGAGGTGATAATTTCATAGCTTTCTTGACGAGCACTCTGATGGTATCTATCCATCAGGTCTTGGTGCATCTCATAAGGGTAGAAATATTCATAGGATTTCTGGAGTTCTGCTGTCATGGTAGCTAACATGATACAAGATATCTTAGTGGCATCATTCTCATGGGTAGTGTACTCAACAATCTCCTCAGGAGTAGCAGACCACTCATCGATGACCTTAAGATCCTTATCGAAGACATATTCCTTGTCCTCATAACGAGTGACCATCCTTATCTTCCCAATCCAATCATTGAAATTAGTTTAATCAAAGATGACTCTCCCACAAAGGTTCATGAGAGAGAAGGAGCCACTAGGGTTTGAGCCAAAAGCATTGTTTGATGACATCTGAAAAGTAAGAAAGACAAGTTTAGATTAGATAAAGAATCCTTAATAAGACACCCAAATGAAGTATAAAGGCTAGGACCCAACATAATATTTTATAATTTGGAAGAGGGATGCCGTAATCCAAGCTACAAAATATTTGAATGTAGGTAAATGACGATTTACCAATTTCCACCATGAAAAACGAAATAGATTATTAGGTTTTAATTGGATTGAAACTCCTAAATCTTTTGAAATTCATTGAACAATCCAATGACATGTTTAAATCTCGATTATGCCCTTCAAGTTTATGATTGGGATACCGAGGATCACAAACAAGGTGTGAATAACCATGCAAATTAACTTTGTATTCCTAATTTTATCACCTAATCCATGTGCTGATTAACTACACACACTCCACCGATCTATAATAAACCTTAAGCCACACTTTTCCACCCTTGTTACTACAAGTTAGTGTGCTGGTTAACCACATACGCTCCACTAACGACTTAGCAAGGTGCAAAGTGTAATTTCATGGGTTAGCATCAAATTCACATTATCCTAAAGTAACTAAGATTGAGAATTTAATAAAAACATTTAGTTACTTTATTATCACTATACTTTTAATGAGAATTATAGTCTTTATCCTACCCGTTCGGTAACGACCCTCCACCAGTCAAGGAAGCGGTGGGTGAGAGTGGACACCAATTAAGCTACCATTTTATAGGCAACAACCTTATACCCCCTTATAGACCGGCTTCGTGAATTAGGCCTACTAACGGTAAGACTGACTTGATCTTATATATATATATATATATATATACATATATATATATATATATATATATATATATATATATATTATTAACTTATAATACTATAAAGTATAAGGGTTGAATTTTAAACTTTTATAATTCAAGGGTTTGGAATTAAAGTTTTCTAAAGTGACTTTACAAATTCCAATACATGAGGGCATGTTTTGAAACTATTCAAAACCTTTCATTTCTATAACTTATGAGTTAAAATGATTTTAATGGAAAAGACTCTTGGAATTTTATAAGTTCTGGACAAGTTACGGAGTCCATTAAAATGCATTTAGATCAACAATTGAACTAACAAGCATGTCAAATAATTTCTATGATCTAACAAAACTCATAATCATGCATAATTGAAATCAACAATTTTCAAGAATCATATGAACTTAATATAAAACTTGAAACTTTGACAATTATGTTAGAAATTAGATAAGCACAATCATTACCACATCAAAAACAGGTTTAACAATTTAAAAACAGTTTAGGGTAATGATCCTAGTCCACTTTCGGCATTAAAACTCGAAATGCTGCACTCAGGGTCTCCGACTCGTCGAGTGCATGAACCAACTCGACGAGTCGGATGAAATTCAACATGGACTCGTCGAGCCCCCTCATGCACTCAGCGAATTCACTGAATAGTGTGCAGAAAAATCGATTTTTTTAGCAAGTTGCATCAAATATAATTAAAAACAAGCCTAGGATCTGATACTATTGATGGGTTTTGAGCATTATAACACTCTTATGGTGTACATGCAACCCTAGAAACCTTAGATCTATGTTTTCTCTATTATACATGCAAACTTTCATTTTTCCAAGGTTTCATCCTAATTAGCATATCATGTGGTATATGTAATAGAAAAAAAAACTAGTAGAATGACATACCTTTCTTGTAGCTTTGATTCCTTAAGACCTGGTGAGCCTAGCACCCCAAATGTGATGCCTCAAATGCTTCACACAACAGCACTAACAATTGGAATAACTTGAGAGAAGATTATTATGCACCAAAATCAGCTAGCCCTCACTTGTATCACTTAAGTCCAGATTTTACAAGCATGAGGCTTCTTTATATAGTGTGCACATTAGAGTTACACCATGTAACTCATGACCTTCCATATTCCTCATGATCCATGGGTTTAAACCTCTGTGGAGTATCCATGGGTCACCACATGGGTTTAGCCCAATCATGAAGAACTATGGATCATAAACCCACTATATAAGAATGAATGATTTACCAAAGCAATCCCCATTTATTTAATTAGTCTCTTTTAATCACAAAATTAATTCCAAACTAATTCTTGATCAATACTAATTAAATAATTCATATTAATATATCAAAACTTATAATATATTAATAAACCATAAATATCCTCTTCTCACAAAAGTCTATCCAAATTGTTGTGATGCCATGCAACCTAAATGGACCATGCCAAATCAGCTCAAGTACATACCAAATATAGTTATGGAATTAGATACCTTATCCAACATAGATACTTTGGGAATATTACATTACTTTTACAGA